TTTTCGACTCTATTCTTGTTGTGGATATTCCAAGTCTCGCAATTCATTTACCTCGGTCCTATCGGTGATTGACTTTAAATTCGGAGGCCCTACATCTTAAATTACCTAATAGTGTTGACAGATCTTTTAAACCCATTCACTTACACTCACGTTTATTGCTGAGACATTTCCCTCTACGTTTGTATAAAAAAGATAGCATGTTCCTATCATTAAGAGATATAAACAAAGCCTACTATTTGCCCCCTATACATGCAACATCACTGGCTGTAATTACATCACCTAGAACGTCCTCTTTAAGTAAAAAGAAAAATAAATGGCATTGAACTAGACACAACCGGGTACATACATTTATGCAGCAGTGAAGAAGTCAGTGTACGTGTTTTAGCCTCGTGGACACAATTAAGTTATCTAGGAGGCGAGCTTCCCACCCTACTTGTCAAGGTTACCCTGTTCTGGGGATATACAACATCCCAGCAGAAAGACCAAGATACAGAGCTCTTCTTTTTTTTTCGAAAACGAAAACGAAAACCAATTATTATTTCTCATAAAACACTCCAATTGTTATACCACTATTATTCTCATTTGTTCAAGTGCTATGCTGTACTCTCAGAAACACACCCCAAAAAAATGTTTGAACAAACCTTCATTTATTTTCTTAGCAGCTAACTTTGTCTGCTTTCTTTCTCCTCCCCCTTTCTCCTTCCCTCCCATCACTCCCCCTTCCTTTCGCCAGAATGCCAGAATCTGGCGTCTCAGATGTTGAACCACAGCCTGTCTTTGATTCCTTTCACCGTTGAACCCCGTGACCCGGAAGTACGGACTGCCTTGAGCGAACTGCTCAGGAACGCCAAGATGTTTCGTCAGACCCAGGTACTGGTCTGTAGTCCTCGTGATTACAGGGACCAGCTAATAGAGAATATCCTCAAAGAGGTGAGTTATATCGAAGGCGATTGGTGGAGACGTTGTTATTTCTTCGTTTCCTGGGTTTTGATTGGTTGTTTGTGAGAACAGCCGAGGTCACATCATGATTACAGGGACCGACTCAAAAGAACAAATTGAAGGAAATGGGTTTTCTCAAATGGGTTTGATGAAGTTGGGGCG